TATGTGAACTACATGAGCCTTCTACCTCCTCCCAGACCGCTCTCTACAAACTTGCTTCAACTAACTCTGAGATTGTCTAGTTCCTCATTTCTCCCTAGCTGGCCTACAGGCTCATTCAGGATTTCGTCTTCATCTTACATTCTCAGCATCTAACAGTATCTGACACACAAATGCCATTCAATATGTACTTGCTGGTTAAATAGTTTCTAATCCTCTTCATGCCTTGGTCACCAGGATCCACTGGTTCCCAGACTCTTCAGTAATGCTGGCTTCTCCCATTGTCTTCTACGAAGTTCAAAACATCCTATTCCAATCTTTCTTCATATGTTTGTCCCTTTGGGGATAGATCTCGCCTTCTTTGTTGCATACCACTGCCTATGTAACTAAAATAGTGCTGCATTTACTTTCTGGAAGCAGGTCTAAACCAACTTCTGCCCAAGACTTCCAGAGTCCTAGATCATAATGGAAAGTGACCTTCGTATATCATAGCAACAAAAAGGCAAGACTCAAATTCCAGCTGAAAGAGAGCCAATGACTAAAAACAATGGGTGAATGTTTCTTTTACTGCCTAATTAAATTGGGTTTAATCTCAATCCAGTTTATATATTTGCAATTACCCAAAACATTTCCAGAAAAGTTCTAAAGACCTTTGAACAGCATAGAATATCACAATATTATTTCAATATCAGATAAATGTATTAATTTCTGGAAGACTAAAGGCTTACAGAATAAAACTTTGAAATCATTGCAGAAAAATCTTTGCACATTATTTAAACCAATTTCCTCACTTTAAAGAAATGAAGCCAGTGCGCCATTTTATTTATTACTTTAATGGTGAGCACTGAGTTCATTGTTTTATCCTTCTTTATACTTCACATGGTCATATTCTTTTTGTGTTAGAAGTATTTCATATTTAGGAAGTAAGGTGGGGAAGAAAGGAGAAAGAAAGACAAAGCAAGAGAGTCAGAAAGAAGAGATTCCCCATCTGACAAGCCACAGCAATGAAAGCCAAAGCTGGGGCCAGTAATCCAGAGTGCCAGCTCCTTGTCTGGCACCTTTCCTCACATTGTACTACCTCCTGACCCAACCAGGGTCATGGCAAGCTACAGTTTTCTCTTTGTCCACCCACCATCTCAGAGCCTAGAGTTCTACTAAATCAAATTACCAGTCTAGTTGGTAGCTGGTCAAAAGATATTGTTAAAACCACTCAGAGAATCAAACAAAATCAGAAACCACTTATTCTTATTCAGAAACATTTCAGGTTATAAAAGAAGGTAAACATTTTAGAAGACCTTTACCAAGAAACAAGAATAACAGCATGTAGAGGAACCTTTGGCATTACAAATGTGAAAAGTCAACCCAAGTCAGTCTCCTAGAATAAGCATGAAAACCCAAGATCTGACTCACAATATTTTCACAATGTAATCACTCAGGATCCTTAGGACCCAGGAACATTTCAAACATGATTAAGAGATCTGAGTGTCTTAATGAATAATTAAGGTTTTATTTTAAATAGATCTTTGGTGGTGACCAATACATTTTTTTTCATATACATCTCCAATTCAAAATGTGAATACGAAGAATGAAAAACTAAATTAGAAAATCTGCTCAAGTCAAAAATAAATCATACCTTGGGAAAGTACAACTTCTCACAGGTAGTGACATGAACACATGAAAAGAAAATGAGTATTCTGAAAAGTGTGGGCTTAAGAATCCTACCCACCATTACTCACATGGCATCAGGTTACCATCCTAAATGGCATTTAAAAGTCACAACAACGTGGACAATAATCATCCCACTTATTACACAGAAGTTCACCAGAAGTTCCATTTCTCTGGATTTGGCCCTCTAAATGTCAGCATCTGAATCAACACAACACAATCCAAGCAGAAATCTTACACTGAAAACACCTGACAACAAAAGAATGAATCAACGAATAAGAGGAAGAAAACAAAAATGAAGGTGCAATATTTTTTAAATGTAAATTTTAGTTGTAGATATCTAACAAAAGGTTTGGTTATATGACTAAAACCTTGAGAAGTGACTACACAAAACATCTTCCATAGAAAATGCTTTGAACTGACCTTGGTCCAGATTCAGCCTTTACTGATACCTTGAGGATAATGTCCTAAGGTGACTAAGTTCTTCGTCACGGCCAAAGGCCAGCTTACAGCCCTGGGAGTAGAAAACTGTGTGAATATCCCATGGTTCAAGTCCAGCTATGGCTTAAGTAAGTCATGTTAACTGGGTTAAAAATGATTCCAGGGCCTGGATCCACAAAATGTAATAAGTGCACCTTCCTTCTTTCTAATAGATTAAATAGAGTCAATGACCCTTTTACAGAAATTAATGACTATAGCAAATAACATGAGCATATACATCCCTCCCACACAAATTTGTCACAAGGAAGTAAGATGTATTTCCAATACTATTGCTTATTTCTCTAAAGAACTATAGCAGTTGACAAGTTTACCTCTAAATTAAATTGAAAAAGAGCCCCATTACCACTTAAAAAGGGAAAATCAAGTTTTCACAAACCTGTAGGAAGATTTTTTCCTTTCAATGTAACACCAAGCACTCTAGTATAAGGTGTTCAGTGGCATGACCTTTACATTTCCTATTAGCCTTTACTAATCCATGTATTTACAATCCTTGAATAATATTAAAAATATTGGTATTGTTTTCCTAGTTATAAAAAAAATCTCGCTGAATGTATTTAGTCAACTTATTAATGGCACAAGGATTTATCCATTTTATAATTTAGTCCTTCTTTGAGAGGGACCAAAGATAAAAGAAAAATAAATATCTCAAAGACCTAAAGATAAGGGGTCAGCAGGTGATGTGATGGTTAAGGCTCTGGATTTCCACATGGCCCACCGTGGCTCAAGTCTGGACCTGACGGCTTGAAAATCATGCTGGGTGCATGTGCATGCAGGCCCAAAATCCTGAGAGGAGAATGGAGAAGGGATTGCAGCACGGCCATCCCCACTGTGAGGTGATTTCTCACTTTCCCTCTGTCTCACACTCTCCAGCTAGCACACATACCCTATGGCATGTATGCATGCATACATAAATACATGCATAAATAAATAAATAAATCTTTTTTAAAAAGACTTAAAGATAAAATTTTTTCATTATGGACCACATATGGGTCAAGTAAGATATAGGACACCTCATTCACTTTATCTAAATGGATCTTCACAGTAACCTTCCTCTCAGTTTTCTGTTGTTGCTGTTGTATAGATGATAAAAAAGAAAGAAAAAAAAACTGAGCCTCAGTAAAATTAAATAAACTAACCTAAGTTCTCACTGCTAGGAAGTAGTAAAGTTAGAATTTTTAACTCAGGTATGACTCTAAAGTCCATGATCCTACCAGCATGCCACAGGGTTTCCTTTGGGGTGGATTAAAAAAGTAACCGAAAGTAAACATCTGTTCATTTTTCTGTATGATTCACTAATTGCTTAACCCCATTAATCCATTTTTATTTTAATACAATTTAATAGGCATCACTCTTAGAGATGGGTTAGCCAAAGATTCTCTTGCAAAGCAAAAATTTATAAAATTTTGCACTCAGGGCAAAAGAAATTTGAGAGCTCTAATTTTACAAAGACAAGAGAAAAATTTACCATTTCGATCATCCTGGACTATCTAGCTCAATTTTGTCCATATGATTAACACAGATTGAACTCAGAGTCTTGCAGAATACATAGAACCCAGAAGATAAATATTTAATGAAATAATGAACATTAATTCATTTCATTATGAATACATAACACAGGTTAAATTTTCACATGCACACAAACATTATGGAAGTATATAATAAGAAACAAGTATTTCCTGTAATTCAACATGTATAAAAATAAATTGTGTACCTTGTTTCCTTCTAGATGAATTCTTTAGAATGTTCCTATTTGAATTAATAGCATCAATGTCTATCACCCAAAATCAAAAACTTAGTTATCTTTGACAGTCTTCTCACCTCCCAATTCCATCTTCAATCCATTCTCAAGTCGTTTTTAATTCAGACTGATCCCTCATGCTAACCCCTCTAAATTCTGAAGGACACGCCCCAGGACAGATCAGTGTCCTCCTTAACCTTCTCCTACAGGGATATCTCACTTAGAGCCCTTATGCTGTCTTAATCATTCATTTGACACAATGGGGCAGGAGTCATAATTCCAAAGAGATGTTGATTTTACAACACCTATCACAAAAGTTTTTCATGATTAGATGGCCAATAATTTAACACTCTAAAATCTGACTCCTCCCTGAAGTGTTACCTCCATTTAGTCCTGTTGCTCATCATACCACCAAGTGAACCAGATCTGGTTGCTCTGTGCCTTTGCTGAACACAACTCATCACCTGGAATGTTCTCCTTCTGTGCTTTGTCCATGAAGCAATTCCACTCATCCTTCAAAATGCAGTTCAAAGACCATTTCTCTGCAAGTCCATCCTGACTTCTGAAGGTAGGAGAACTGGCCTCCTCCTCTGAGTTTATATAACACTCAACTTGCACCTCTATTTTAGAAATTAACACTTAGACTCTATAACAGAGTTCTTTGTGCACATCTTATGTCTCCTACCAATTGCCAACCATCGATACATATACAGACACCACTCTTTGTCTCCCATAACCTCTAACCAAGATCTTGTGTATACTGCATTTAAAGAACATTCAGTTAATAACTATTACATTAAGGTCTTCCACTGAAGGAGAATACAACTCCATCTGCATTGCTTAGGCAACCTTTAGGTTTAAAAAAAACTAACTGGCAAAATATTTTACAAGTGTTCAATACCGAGTGTTCACAAATGATAAAACTTAACTTCCTTGAATTTTAGAATTGGAGTCAGAGGATCTGAGAAGAAAATACTCATTTGTGAGTCACAGCAGTTAGGCAGAAAACATTTGTGTCATTGTCAACTATCAGCCAACCCTACGCAAAACACAAACAGACACACAGCCAGTGCACAAAGCATTTAACCATTTGCCTTACTTTGCAGTAGACGATCATGTTTGGAGAACTCTCCTCCGGATCAGCAATCCCCACTGCCCGTTGGTCCCCAGGTCCCTGAGCCATCCTGAGTGTCTTCACTCACACTGTAAAAATAAATGAATAGATGATTAAATCACGAAGGAAGTATATAAAGAAAACTTAGAAATACCAAGAAGCATCTTTTGGCAGGTGTCATTAAAAAAAAATGGCAGGTGCAGGGAAAGCAAAATAAGTTTTCTTATTTTTCCGCATTAATGTAAAAGGTATTTAAAAATGTTAGGGGATGATTGTGGTCTTACATACATTTTTCTAACCTCAAACCAATGTATTCTTTATTTTCAGTTCAGACTTCTATATCCTAAGAGTGAATATATGCCAGTCTTAAATATTAGGTTGTTGGAAAATTTTTCTATGCAAAAATGCATCATGACTTTTCCAACGACATAATAATATCCTAAAGACACATGAAGCCAATCATTCTGATGTTGATTTTGTTTGACCAAAGCTCATTTTAAGATTAAGTCTATGCATTTAAATATGAATATACCCCAGAGGCCATTGTGCACACTGCTAAGATGCCAGGTTCCACAGGCTGGGACCATATGGAAGTCCAGGTTTAGTTCCTTGTCTAAGTTGAAGGCTAAGTGCTATGGTGGGCACCTATAATCCTAGTGCTTAGGAGGCTCGGGCAAGAGGATTAAGAGTTCTTGCCAGGCCTGGGCAACACAGTGAGACCCTGTCTAAAAAATCTGGCATGATAGTACAGATCTGTAGACCCAGCGGGGAGACTGAGGCAGGAGGATCCTGACCTCAAGATTCTATCTAAAATAATAAATAAATATAAGGGAAATGCAAATCAAGGTCACAAAGAGAGGCCACTTCATATCCACTAAGATGGTTATAATACATTTTTAAAAACCTCAAATAACAAGTGTTGGAAAAAATATGAGGAAATCAGAACTCTTATACATTGTTGATAGGAATGTAAAGTAGTGCAGTCACTATAGAAAACAGGTTAGTGGTTCTTTAAAAAGTTAAACATAGGATTATCAAATGATCAGCAGTTTCACTTCTAAGTATATGCCCAAAAGAACTGAAAACCAATACTAGTATACCAGTATTTTTACTTTACTGCAGCATATTCATGACAGCCAAATGGGACAGACAACTTAAATGGCCATCAATGGATGAATGGATAGGGCTGGCCCCATAGTCTAGTGTGTAAAGGAGCCAGATCCCACATGGCAGACTGCAATTCAAACACCAGCCCTAGTAGGAACCAGCAGTTAGCATAATGGCTATGTCGCTGGACTCCCACGTAGTCGACCGCGGTTCGCGTCCCAGACCCAGTGGCTTAAAACTCACGCCAGGCGCGTGTGTGTGCATGCCCAAGATCCCGAGAGGAGAATGGAGGAGAAGGGATTGCGGCGTGACCATCCCCCCTGGGGGGTGATTTCTCGCTTTCTGTCTCTATGTCTCTCCCTGTTTGTCTGGTGAGCGCATGCACCCTACAGCGAAAATCTCTCCAAAAAAAACAAACAAACAAATAAAAAAAACCACCAGCCCTGGCAGTTTGAAAAAACATAGTGGGCACAAGTGTGTGCATGTCCAAAACCGTGACAGGATGGAGAAACAGAGGAGAAGGAACATGATCACACCCCATGGGGGGAGAGGGATGCTTTCTACCCACAACCCCCATCTCTGTCTCTTTCTGTCTCTTTCTCTCTCTGGTGAACACACATGTACCTGGCAATTAAAACAAAATGAATGGATAAACAAAAAAGTGCACGCTCATGCAATGGAATATTATTGAGCCTTGAAGAAGAATAATGCACAAAGATATGCTACAAGACAGATAAACCTTGAAAACATTATGCTAAATGAAAGAAAAGGTCACCTATTACATATGAATTCACTTATAAGAAATATGTGGAATAAGTAAACCCAAAGACACAGGAAACTGGATAGTGGCACAGCAGTAAAACATTATGCTCTGAGAGGCTGACCCACAAGGGAAGGTTCCAGATTGCATCAAGAGACCTTCTTGAGTACACAGAGCCCTACACTTGACCGATGCCATGGGCTGGCTGAAGCTGGAATAGATCATGGCATCAGGATCTTTTGGAGGATGCTATTCCTGTGTCTCTCATACTTATAGAAGAAATACATGATACACTTTTAAAAAGAAAGGGAAACAGAAAACAGATTGGTAGTGGCTAGAAGCTGGAAGGCCAAGGGTGACTTATTAATAGACATGGGGTCTTCATTAGGGATGATGAAAATATCTTGGAACTACATAGAGGTGACGGTTGTAAAATACTGTGAAATTATCAAAAGCCACAAAATTATACACTTTAAGATGGTTGATATGTTATGTGAATTCCATCTCAATTAAGAAAAATTGAATATATTTAATTTGGTCTTTTTAAAAGCCTGAAAAGATAATAGTGAGATAATGACAAGCATATGAAATTTTTGAATAAAGAAGCAAGTTCAATTCTTGGTGTGACACCATTTTTAATAGCTGTATAACCTTGAACAAGTTAAATAACCTGTTGGGTTCCCTTCATTAACTTCCCTCTTAAATGAATACGCTGAACACCTGCCTTATGCTGAGAGAACACACAGGCACTTTCTGCTTGCCCTCATCAGTAAAGTGAGTGCGGATTCCACCAAGTACCGCACAGGTAAGAGTCAAATAAGCTAAGTGTGAAAGGATGGAATCAAGCCATAAAAGTCCTATGCAAATACTATTACCAATCTAACGGCCTGCCTGGGTTATTTGCACAAAAGTCATAGGCTTTCCATCAAAGAAATTTTCATAAATACCATACTTGACAGAAAAGGCCATTTAAATCTAAACTAAAAACTCAGGCAACATTTTATTATACAGTAAGTTGGTAGCAAAGGTCATTCCATAAAAAACAAAGTTGGGTGGACGATGGGACAGAGACAGGAATTCATCACTTTATGCTAAGGATTTAACTTCGCAAAATACCCTCTTTGCATAATGCTGCCTTCTTTCTTCATCATTTATGAATTAGAATGTATTTTAAAATTAGATTACATGAAGAGATAAAGAGCATTATTCTATTATCTCTACCCACTATAATATCAGTATGTCTATGAATATGGTACTACATGGAAACACTGATTATTATTCTAATCGGTGGCTTTCAAAATTAAATGAACAACATACTGCACATTTTTAAACAACTACTTAGTTGCCTACCCCTCTGCCTTAATGCAGAATATGACAGAGCATGAAAAGCAAAAATTGAGTCCCCTTACATATGCTCACTTATCTATCGAATGGAGCCTTCCAGGTTTCCATTGCCTTGTTTTAAAATAAACACTTTCACTTTAATGAGCACGTTCTCTCTCATCTAGAAAACTGCATTATAACAGCAAGATTGGAAATGACCCAGAAACAAACCTGTCAGCCCTTCCTTTGTCTTTCCCAGCCGCCCCCTCCAAACAGCACCATTTCTGGGGTTCAAACAGGCTGACATGCCCCGGTCTGGGCTTAAAACCACTACGTGAATGCAGAGAGTCTCTGCCTTAGGAATTTTAGTGACTCTAGTATTCAGAAAATGCTTCTGTTTTTGGTTCCTCTACCAACTTGTTTTGAAACTCAGACAAGCCCTGTGTTTTTCTGAAACATAGAAAAACATTCTGTGTTATAAAGAATAACTTTCTTTTTTTTAGGTTAATTTATTTCATGAGGGACAGAGAAAGAGAGTGGGGAAAACAAAGCACCCTCAAAAGGGTCTCATATACGATCCCTGCAGCCTCCCAGCCAGCCAGGATCATGGGCACCTGCGCGCATACAGCATGTAAAAGCCAACCTGGGGACCGAACCTCAAACTTCCAGCATTGCAGCGTCTTGGGCTACCACTGTGCCACCACAGCTGGGCCACTGAAAGACTCATTTCCAAAACAGTAACACAGCTACCTACTAGTCCATATGTCAACAGGCGTTAGGAAGAACTGCATGTGAAACCTTTCTAGGTAAGAATTTGCTAATTAAATTCAGTGACTATAAAGCTGGAGTTTGTGAAGTTAAAGGACTAGATTTTCATTCATTATAATATGGTATAAAATATTTCTTTTCAATGAAGTACAATATAAATAAAAAGAAATGTTTTAAATTTAGTGGTATAGGTAAACAGAACCTTCTTCATTTATTGATATACCTACAAATGTATATTCATTTATTTAAATACTATATATATTCATTTATTTATATACCACATGCTTATTCACACAATAAATAATTCAGGGGCTTTGGTTTTAGTATTTGAAGAACAGGAATGCTTTTCTGACAACACATTCGTGCTTTTCACTAGAAAGTTGGTCCAGTGTGTGGCCCCAGCTGTGAAGTGCTGTTGCACAATGCTGGAGCCATATGGGAGGGCACTAAGTTTAGTTCCCAGGACACACTGAACACACAGGGCATGCCCTTGACCTTGGCCGGGTGCAAGCCTGAGAGGAGGATCATGGCATGGCAAGACCCTGTCCAGAGTCCCTGTGTGTCTGTCTCTCTCTTTCC